CTGTCCTCCCCCCCCGGCCCCCACCCCTGGGCGGCGGGGGGGCCACAAAGATAATGAGGGGGGGAGACCTACTGTCCTCCCCCCCCGGCCCCCACCCCTGGGCTCCTCCCCCGCCGGCTGATTGGCTTAAACCCACCAATCACAGTGTTCTTAGCCTAATTACAGGGCGTGGCAAGGCTTTATAAGCCTTCCCCCACCCTGCAGAGCTCAGTCTGCGCGGAGCCCTCCATGGGTGAAGATGGATTATTTTTTTGCGCTCGGGTTTTTTCTTTTTCGTCAGGTTTTTTTTTGCGCTCGGGATTTTTATTTTATTTTCAATTCGACGGTTATGATGGTTTTTTATTTGGCCTTTTTTGGGGCTGAAAAATGAAGATTTGAGAAAAAAGAAGACGTCGAATGGTAAGTTTACATTTATTTTACAGGTTAGTTATTTTATTCCCCCCTCACTATTTTTTAGGGTGAGGGGGGTAGGTAGGGACTTTTTATTTGGGGGGGGTGGTGACTAGGGGCTTGGGGACCCCTAGTCACCTTGGGGGGGGGATTTGCTTAGGGCCCCCACCCGCAGCCCAGGGGTGGGGGCCGGGGGGGGAGGACAGTAGGTCCCCCCATTATCTTTGTGGCCCCCACCCGCCGCCCAGGGGTGGGGGCCGGGGGGGGAGGACAGTAGGTCCCCCCATTATCTTTGTGGCCCCCACCCGCCGCCCAGGGGTGGGGGCCGGGGGGGGAGGACAGTAGGTCCCCCCCCTCATTATCTTTATGGCCCCCACCCGCCGCCCAGGGGTGGGAGCCAGGGGGGGCAGTAGGTCCCCCCCCCATTATCAATTTGGCCCCCACTCGCCGCGCAGGGGTGGGGGCCGGCGGAGAGGGCAGTAGGTCCCCCCCCTCATTATCAATATGGCCCCCACCCGCCGCGCAGGGGTGGGGGCAGTAGGTCCCCCCCTCATTATCAATATGGCCCCCACCTGCCACGCAGGGGTGGGGGCTGGGGGGCATTAGGTCCCCCCCTCATTATCAATATGGCCCCCACCCGCCGCGCAGGGGCGGGGGGGGTCAATAGGTCCCCCCTTATTGTTCATTTTAGGGCCCCCACCCACCGCTCAGTGGTGGGGGCCGGGGGGGACAATAGGTCCCCCCCTTATTGTTCATTTTAGGGCCCCCACCCACCGCTCAGGGGTGGGGGCAGGGGGGGGACAATAGGTCCCCCCCTTAATGGTATTTTTAGGGCCCCCACCCACTGCTCAGGGGTGGGGCCGGGGGGAGGACAATAGGTCCCCCCTATTAGTATTTATGGCCCCCACCGGGTGGGCTGCTCACTGTTTAATAGACATGCCCCTACTCGCAGTATTGCGAGTAGGGGCACAATTTACTAATACTAAGTAATTTTTACTTAGTATTAGTAAATTAATAGGGGGCGGACTGAACATCACATATGTTCGCCGTCGGCGCGAACGTGAACACGCTATGTTCGCCAGGAACTATTCGCCAGCGAACCGTTCGGGACATCATTAGTCTGTAGTAATCCTCTTATGTGTTTGGGTGTAGTGTTGGCTTTGAAATGTGGGTTTACATACAGTATCTCACAAAAGTGAGTACAGCCCTCACATTTTTGTAAATATTTTATTATATCTTTTCATGTGACAACACTGAAGAAATGACACTCTGCTACAATGTAAAGTAGTAAATGTACAGCCTGTATAACAGTATACATTTGCTGTCCCCTCAAAATAACTCAACACACAGCCATTAATGTCTATACCGTTGGCAACAAAAGTGAGTACACCCCTAAGTGGAAATGTCCAAATTGGGCCCAAAGTGTCAATATTTTGTGTGGCCACCATTATTTTCCAGCACTACCTTAACCCTTAGTTCACCAGAGTTTCACAGGTTGACATCACAGAGCTGGTGGATGTTAGAGACCTTGCACTACCATTTGAGGATACCCCACAGATAATCAATAGGGTTTCGGTTTGGAGATATGCTTGGCCAATCCATCACATTTACATTCAGTTTCTTTAGCAAGGCAGTGGTCATCTTGGAGGTGTGTTTGGGGTTGTATTGGAATACTGCCCTGCAGGCCCAGTCTTCAAAGTGAGGGGATCATGCTCTTCTTCACTATGGCACAGTACATTCATGGTTCCCTCAATAAATTGTGGCACCCAGTGCCGGCAGCACTCATGCAGGCCCAGACCATGACACTCCCACCACCATGCTTGACTGTAGGCAAGACACACTTGTCTTTGTACTCCTCACCTGGTTGCCGACACACACACTTGACACAATCTGAACCAAATACGTTTATCTTGGTCCCATTGGGCCACAGGACATTGTTCCAGTAATCCATGTCCTTAGTCTGCTTGTCTTCAGCAAACTGTTAGCAGGCTTTCTTGTGCAACATCTTTAGAAGAGGCTTCCTTCTGGGATGTCTGCCATGTAGACCAATTTGATGCAGTGTGCGGCGTATGGTGTGACCACTGACAGGCTGACTCCCACCCCTTCAACCTCTGCAGCAATGCTGGCAGCACTCATATGTCTATTTCTCAAAGACAACCTCTGGAAATGATGCTGAGCACGTGCACTCAACTTCTTTGGTCAACCATGGCGAGGCCTGTTCTGGGTGGAACCTGTCCTGCGAAAACACTGTATGGTCTTGCACACTGTGCTGAAGCTCAGTTTCAGGGTCTTGGCAATTTTCTTATAGCCTAGGCCAGTGATGGCTAACCTTGACACAATAAATTGTTTCTGGACTACATTTCCCATGATGCTCAGCTAGCTTTTAGCGTCTAAAAGCTAGATGAGCATTAAACTTCCCCCTCCCCCTATTTTACACACATTACATACCTACACAGATACACCCTGCATTCACTATATACACACACTACACAAACACACACTTTGCATTCATTATACACACACTACATCCACTACACAAACACACACTCTGTCTTCACCATGCACACTCTGCCTTCACTACACAAACACACACAACAGCCACTACACAAACACATTCACTATAGACACCGCATCTAATAAACACAAACACTACATCCACTACACAAACTACACACTACACACTCTGCATTCAGTATCCACACCACATCTAATACATACAAACACTATATCCACTACACAAACACATACACACTCTGCATTCACTACACACACACACTCACACACTACATCCACTGCACAACCACACACTCTGCATGCACTATACACATTGCATCTAATACACACAAACACTACATCCACTACACAAACACATACCCTGCATCTAATATACACCTCATACATTACACAAATGTACAATCTGCATCCACTATACACACTGCATCCATTACGAATTCTACAACCACTATACACAAACCACAATCAGTACACACACTGCATCCCTGTGGGCAGACTCGGGGGCAGACCTGTGGGCGGATTCGGGGACAGGCCCCAGGGGCCCAGTTCTTGAGCTGTGTCAGGGCCCCTAAATTTTTGATGGCAGCCCTGCAGCCAGATACAAACATTGACACACACACAACCAGATACACACACTGACTGAGACCCAGCTATACACACATATATAAGTATCAATTTACATATTTTAATCACTACCCTCTAGCAGTTCCTGGACAGCGACTCCCAGCAATATTGGCCAAAATAATCTTACCCTGGTAGAGATTTTGGCAAAAGTGACATTTGGAAATAGTGTGTAGCTTTTTTTAATTTATATTTAACAATACTGTCATTTTCTAGGATTTTTAACATGTAGTTATCCCCTGTAAATAACAGACATGTTTTTAAAGTCTTATAAATAAAAGTGAAATTAGAAATTTAAATTTTTTTAAATTTATTTTTGTACATATTTTAGCCACCATCCTGCCTCCTTACCTTTTGATTACAGATGGGTGGCACCCCAGAAGTCTGGGTCCAGTTGGAGTTTGCTGGCCCAGGCTGATGGGAGTCTGAGGCACCAGCTTCCACAGTCCCTCTCGTCCACCATGTGTACATCCTTCTCCATGTGGGGTGTGCCTCCGTATCCCCAGTGTACTCTGTTACTTGCGAGGAAGTGATCTGACCTCACTTCTTCCCAGCATGCCATGGGGGAACAAACAGAATGCCAGAGCAGTGTATGTGCGAGGCTGTATGTACAATGTGTAGGGGACTGTGTATGTGGGCTAGCTGTGTGTATGTTTTCAGCCACCCCCATATTATAGGGGCCCGGTCCGGAGCAATATTAAAGGGCATGGGGCCCCTGATTATCGCAGCCCACCTGGAAATTTCCCAGTATCCCGGTGGTCTATCCGGCTCTGGTTGTTGGTAGGGGGCCCATGAGGCAGCTGCCTTGGGCCCACAGGAGTAACTAGCCTGGGGCAGCTGCCCCATTTGCCCTGTGTTAAAGATGGCCCGGCACACATACACAGATACACACACTGACAAATACAAAGATACAAACACTGACAAACACAAATACACACACTGACAAAGATATAGATACACACATTGATACATACACACAGATAAACACACTTCCACATATACACTGACAAATACACAGATACTGACTTTTGTTTCATCCTAGCACTCAGCATGCGTGCCCTGTTGAGGCTGCACTGATGGTAGTTCCACCGCTGGAGAGTGCCTGATGCAAGAATTTGTTTGGGCCTCCCTATGTAACAAGGATAACGAAAAGGTAGAGCCTCAACTGCTTGTTTAGTAATTCCAAATTTTGGATTGTCAAAATTTGCCAATTATTAATTCAATGTTGTGAAATTCATCCAAAGATATCCAGGAATTTGAAAATCTGTAATTCACTTATGGGAGCTGTTTAGTAGAAAGCTTCTTAATTTGGTACCCTTTAATGGGATTTCTCTACTTAGGATACCAAAATAGGGTGCTGTTTAGTAGATGGCTTCCCTAATTTGGATCATTGATGTAAGATTCCCCTACTTAGGATCATAGGCGTGCGCAGCCTATTGCATTAGGGTGTGCTCCCTAAAGCACAAACACCCGCCGTGTGTGTGTGTGTGTATGTATCTAGATCTATATATATATATATATATATATATTATATATATATATAGATCTAGATATCCATATAGCACCTACATATAGATCTAGATACATACACACACACACACACACACACACACATACACTGCATCTAATATATGTGTGAGGGTGCTGTTAGTGTGATGTGAGGGTATTTGTGTGTGTGTGTGTGTTTGTGACTGTGCTGTTTGTGTGTGAGGGTGTTTATTTGTGTATGTTTGTCCTGTGAGGGTGCTGTTTGTGTGAGTGTCGTGTATTTGTGAGGGTGCTGTTTGTGGGCTGTGTGTGTTTGTGAGGGTGCGGTTAGTGTACTGTGTGTGTGTGTGAGCTGTATGTGTGTAGGTGCTATATGTGTATGTGCTGTATGTTTGGAGGGATTTGGCAGATTAGTAAATCCTTGCTGCCATGTGCCATCCCTGGTGGTCCAGTGGAGAGTGAACTCTAGCCTGCGGGGCTAGAGTTAACTCTTGCGAGATCTGAGCTCAGATATCGCGAGAGGAACCTGGTGGAGCTTCTGTCTAGAGCTCCCTGGGTCCTCTCCTGCCTCCCTCCATGCTGCTGTGGGCCGGTGAGGTAGATCTTTGGTCTCCCCGCCGGCCCATGGAGGCTTAGAGCAGAGCCGGCACTCAGATAGCGCCGGCTGTGTGTGTGTGTGTGTGTGTGTGTGTGTGTGTGTGTATATATATATATATATATATATGCGTACACACTCACAGACACAGACACACACACACATACACAGACAGACACACACACACTCACACACACACACACAGAGACACACTCACACAGAGACACACTCACACAGAGACACACTCACACACACTCACAGACACACACAGACTCACAGACACAGACACAGACACACTCACAGACACAGACACAGACACACTCACAGACACAGACACAGACACAGACACACTCACAGACACAGACACACTCACAGACACAGACACACACACTCACAGACACACACACTCACAGACACAGACACTCACAGACACACACACTCACAGACACAGACACACACTCACAGACACACACACACACACACACGAACAAATTATTATATTTTAATAAAAAACAATGTCCACCCAGCCTCCTACCTGGAGTGCTGGCGTGGACTTTTCCCTGGGGTCCAGTGGGACGGGCGCCTCTCTCCAGCTCAGCTGCGGCGAGGGAGCTCTCTGCTGTCTGCTCTCTGCTCCCTCTCGCCGCGCGGGCTGTCTGCTGTCATATTCCGGCTCCCGGCATCAGCGCGCGGCGAGAGGGAGCAGAGAGCAGACAACTCCCTCGCCGCGGCTTAGCTGGAGAGCGGGGGGAATCCATCACCTCTTGCCCCCCTGTCATGACAGGGGCAAGAGGTGAGTGGGGCGCTGAGTGCCTGCAGGAACAGCGTTCCTGCTCAAAAAAAAGTGCAGGAACTATGTTCCTGCAGGACTCAAACCATAGGCGTGCCACGGGGATAAGGGTGTGCACACCCCGTGCGCACGCCTATGCTTAGGATATCATATTAGAGTGATGTTTGGTAGGTAGCTCCCTAATTTTGTACCCTTAAGTGGGATTGCCTATTAAAGGATACCAAATTAGGGAACTGTTTAGTAGGCACCTCTCTAATTTGGTACCCTTATGTGGGATTCCTCTACTTAGGATACCAACTTAGGATGCTGTTTTCTTTGGAAAAAAAACTATTATGCTGTTATGTAGGACGTGAAAAGTGCTTTCCTAGTTAACTTTGAAAAACACTGCATTGGTGTGGCATAAATTCAAACCCTGTACTTTGGTTTGCTTAAAGATTTTATTTGTTAATTGGAAAAAATATTTTTATTCTGTTCTGCAGTATGTGATATGTACTGTCCTGTGACTTTATAAGCCACTGGTTTTGGCATTTGTGTGGCAGCACATGTTACACCTTGCACAACTGTTTGCTAAAATATATATATATATATATATATATTTTAAAATTGTTTTTTTATGTTGTTGTGCAGGAGGTTAAAAGTGCTGACCATTGGTGACTTTCAAAGCCATTGCATTGACATGGCAGGGCTTAAAACATCCTGCACATCAGTTTGATTAAAAGGGATACTATAGTCAGGGGCGTATTAGCCGCGAGGCAAACAAGGCCGCCCCCAAATGCCCAGGGCAAATGCCTATTTAGCCTCACAGCTAACCGACATGCCGAGCGGGCGGGCGGCTGGCGAGCTCTTTCCCTGAGCGCTCTGCTCAGCTCCCTCGCGTGCCACCAAGTGAGGCTGGGAGCCGGATTATGACGTCATATTCCGGCTCCCGGCCTCACTCTGCTGGCGGCGCGCGAGGGAGCTGAGCAGACAGCTCAGAGGAAGAGCTCCCTCGCCAGCCGCCCGCCCGCCCTGCAGCCACTGGACCCCAGGACCCCAGGGAGAGGAAGAACCCCCCCCCAGCATTCCCAAAGGTAAGGAGGCTGGGGGGGTTAAATTAAAAAAAAAAACACACAAGTTAGTGTGTGTGTCTGTTAGAGTGTGTATGTCTTAGTGTGTGTATGTTAGTGTGTGTGTCTGTTAGTGTGTGTCTGTGTCTGTTAGTGTGTGTGTGTGAGTCTGTTAGTGTGTGTGTGTGTCAGTGTGTGTGTTTGCCTGTTAGTGTGTGTGTGTGTGTTTGCCTGTTAGTGTGTTTGCCTGTTAGTGTGTGTGTGTGTGTTTGCCTGTTAGTGTGTGTGTTTGCCTGTGAGTGTGTGTGTGTGTCTGTTAGTGAGTGAGTGAGTGTGTGTCTGTTAGTTGTGGGGATATTTACGGGATAATAATAGTAAACAGTGAGAATTGCCCACTAATTCAATTCTCAGATCCCAAAGATCGTTATCGTGTTAAGTGAAAAGTATTTCATATAAATAAAATCACAATTTGTTATAAAAATAGATTTATTTATTATGACCAATAATTAACAAACAATATTATGTAACATGCGTGACAATAATCAATGAATATCCAGTATCAAATGATATGCAATAGAAAGATAGAAACATAGAATGTGACGGCAGATAAGAACCATTCGGCCCATCTAGTCTGCCCAATTTTCTAAAAACTTTCATTAGTCCCTAGCCTTATCTTATAGTTAGGATAGCCTTATGCCTATCCCATGCATGCTTAAACTCCTTTACTGTGTTAACCTCTACCACTTCAGCTGGAAGGCTATTCCATGCATCCACTACCCTCTCAGTAAAGTAATACTTCCTGATATTATTTTTAAACCTTTGTCCCTCTAATTTAAGACTATGTCCTCTTGTTGTGGTAGTTTTTCTTCTTTTAAATATAGTCTCCTCCTTTACTGTGTTGATTCCCTTTATGTATTTAAATGTTTCTATCATATCCCCCCTGTCTCGTCTTTCCTCCAAGCTATACATGTTAAGATCCTTTAACCTTTCCTGGTAAGTTTTATCCCGCAATCCATGAACCAGTTTAGTAGCCCTTCTCTGAACCCTCTCTAAGGTATCAATATCCTTCTGAAGATACAGTCTCCAGTACTGTGTACAATACTCCAAGTGAGGTCTCACCAGTGTTCTGTACAATGGCATGAGCACTTCCCTCTTTCTACTGCTAATACCTCTCCCTATACAACCAAGCATTCTGCTAGCATTTCCTGCTGCTCTATTACATTGTCTGCCTACCTTTAAGTCATCAGAAATAATCACCCCTAAATCCCTTTCCTCATATGTTGAGGTTAGGACTCTATCAAATATTCTGTACTCTGCCCTTGGGTTTTTACGTCCAAGATGCATTATCTTGCACTTATCCACATTAAATGTCAGTTGCCACAATTCTGACCATTTTTCTAGTTTACCTAAATCATTTGTCATTTGGCTTATCCCTCCTGGAACATCAACCCTGTTACATATCTTAGTATCATCAGCAAAAAGACATACCTTACCATCAAGACCTTCTGCAATATCACTAATAAAAATATTAAAGAGAATGGGTCCAAGTACAGATCCCTGAGGTACCCCACTGGTGACAAGTCCAAGCTTCGAATATATTCCATTAACTACAACCCTCTGTTGCCTGTCACTCAGCCACTGCCTTACCCATTCAACAATATTTGAATCCAAACTTAAAGATTGCAGTTTATTGATAAGCCTTCTATGTGCAACAGTGTCAAAAGCCTTACTGAAATCTAGGTAAGCAATGTCTACTGCACCACCCTGATCTATAATTTTAGTTACCCAATCAAAAAAATCAATAAGATTAGTTTGGCATGATCTCCCTGAAGTAAACCCATGTTGTCTCTGATCTTGAAATCCATGTGTTTTTAGATGTTCATCAATCCTATCCTTTAACATGGTTTCCATCACTTTCCCCACTACTGAAGTAAGGCTTACTGGCCTATAGTTGCCCGACTCCTCCCTATTACCTTTCTTGTAAATGGGCACAACATTCGCTAACTTCCAATCTTCTGGGACTACTCCTGTTAACAATGATTGGTTAAATAAATCTGTTAATGGTTTTGCTAGTACACCACTAAGCTCTTTTAATAGCTTTGGGTGTATTCCATCAGGTCCCATTGACTTATTTGTCTTTACTTTTGACAGTTGAAATAGAACCTCTTCCTCTGTAAACTCACGTGTAATAAATGACTCATTTATCCTTTTTCTCAACTGAGGTCCCTTTCCTTCATTTTCATCTGTAAATACAGAACAAAAATATTCATTGAGGCAGTCAGCCTGACCTTTATCCTCTTCTACATACCTTCCTTCTTTTGTTTTTAATCTAACTAATCCTTGTTTTACTTTTCTTTTCTCATTTATGTATCTAAAAAATGTTTTATCCCCCTTTTTTACTTACTGTGCTATTTTCTCTTCTGTGTGTGATTTGGAAGCTCTTATAACTTGCTTAGCCTCTTTCTGCCTAATCTTATAGATCATTTTGTCTCCCTCACTCTGGGTTTTTTTATAATTCCTAAATGCTAACTTTTTGTTTTTAACTATTTTGGCCACATCTGCGGAGTACCACAGTGGTTTCTTGAATTTTTTGCTTTTACTGACAAGCCTAATGCAATTTTCTGTTGCCTTCAATAGTGCAACTTTTAAATAATCCCATTTTTCTTGGACTCCATTTAAATTGCTCCAGTCTGATAATGACTCCTCTACCCATATTCTAATTTTAGAAAAGTCTGTTTTTCTAAAGTCTAAAACTTTTGTTTTTGTGTGGTGTGACTCAGTCACTGTTCTTATATTAAACCACACTGACTGATGATCACTGGATCCTAAACTTTCACCTACAGTAATATCTGATACCAAATCTCCATTTGTTAACACTAAATCTAGTATGGCCTCTTTACGAGTTGGCTCCTCAACAACTTGTTTTAGAGACAATCCCAGTAGGGAGTTTAGAATATGTGTGCTCCTGGCACAAGTAGCTAATTTTGTTTTCCAATTTACATCAGGAAGATTAAAGTCACCCATGATGATAATGTAATGGTAAATTAAGTAATTTCTTTATATTTATGAAGTTCTGAATTGCATAAATATAAAATAATACCACAAATAAAATAATAAAAGGTATACTGGTCAATCACATAAATATTAGTGAATATCTTGAATGAACAGACAAGAGGCAAAGTTTTGATGAAAGTATAAACAAAACTTTACTGGGAATACAATTATCAAGCACACAAAAAAGAAACAAATACTTTAAAAACATACACTGCTATAAACAATACATTCAGGTAAGAAATCTACTTAGCTCTATTCATGGAGATTCAGCAGCTTACACAGGATAATTGAATCAGCATAACACACAGAA